ATTCTAATATCCTTCCCAAATATGTCAAGGTTGTTGAACAGTTCCATCAGATCTTTGTGGCATACTTTATCGAATGCCTTTGCGTAATTTATAAAACACAGGTACACGTCATTCTGTAATTCTATTGCTCTGTCTGAGCATAAATTTCGCGTTCCTTATTCTCTTTGACGAACTCGCACTGTTATTGTCCTTTTCCGGTTTGATTCTGCTGGGAGCTCTATTCATCAGAATTCGGATGATGAGTTTTGTTATATGGCTCATTAGGCTGATTGTCCGACGGAGTTCACATTCGTTTGCATCTGGCTTCTTAAGCAGTGCTATGACAATAGATCTACTTAGGTCTTCCGATATATCACCACTGTTGTAGATTTCATTTCTTATTTCTGTAATCTTCTCTATGCCAGCATCTCTATTACAATCCCGACTGGCCCTCCGCTAGTGCAGCTTTCACTTCACATTTTAATATTTCCGGTCCGTCGATATTTCTGTGTATTGCCGGTTGTTCTCTTTCAACGTGGAAGAGTTCACCGATATATCCGTTCCATCTCTGAAGTATTTTTTTTCTTTTTCTAATATCAACGTTCCGTCCTTGGACTTTATTTCATCCTATTGATGAGCATGCCTTTTGTCCTGTTAATAAAATTATCTTATTTCTTTATGCATGGCTGCTTTATCTGTGATGCTCATTCTTTTTTCTCATTTTTCGTTGAGACATTCCTCTTTAGTCTGCCTGCATTTGTTCCCCATATCCTTGCGTAGTTCCTATATTCTTTTCCGTGTCTTGGCATAGTTTTTTGTTTCTTTTTCGTCTGTCATATATTCGTTTTTTCTTCGTTAATTTCATTTGGGATTGCTGATGTTACTAAAAGTTCTCGATTGCTGATGTTACTAAAGGTTCTCGATTTCTGATGTTACTAAAGGTTCTCGATTTCTGATGTTACTAAAGGTTCTCGATTTCTGATGTTACTAAAGGTTCTCGGTTTCTGATGTTACTAAAGGTTCTCGATTGCTGATGTTACTAAAAGTTCTCGATTGCTGATGTTACTAAAGGTTCTCGATTTCTGATGTTACTAAAGGTTCTCGATTTCTGATGTTACTAAAGGTTCTCGATTTCTGATGTTACTAAAAGTTCTCGATTGCTGATGTTACTAAAGGTTCTCGATTTCTGATGTTACTAAAGGTTCTCGATTGCTGATGTTACTAAAGGTTCTCTTTAAGTCTACTACTTCGAGTTTTCATTTACCTTTTGTCCCTCCTATCTACTTTTCACACTGACCATATATTTCTTCTTCAGATTCGGACCGGTATATGCAAATAGATCTGCTTACGTCTTCCAGTGTATCGCCACTGTTGTAGATTACATTTATTTCTGTCACCTTGTCTATGCCGAAATCATTTAAGGCTGTCAGCATCTCTATTAAAAATCCATTTGGTTCTGCCGCTTTGTTTCTGTTCAATTTGATCAGTGTAGCTTCCATTTCAGTTTTTATATTTCCGATACGTCGGTATTTCTGTATATTACCGACTGTTCTCTTTCGTCGTGGAAGAGTTCTCTGAGACATTCATTCCATCTTTTTTATGTGCCGTGTTCTTTCAGGACGTAGGCGATCATGGTTTTCCACCCCCTCTATCTCTTGCAGCTCTCAACAAGTTCCTTCCCTCTGTTCCCCCACCTTGACGACGTTCTGTCATCCACTTGCTTAAGCCCGCCAGGTATGTCACGCATTATTTTCCCTTGTCTCTCTTTCCCTCTATTCAACCCGTGAGTATCAGATTCTCCAGGCCCTCTTTCCTCATTATGTGTCCCAGAAACTTCAGCTGCTTCTTTCTGATGTTAAGTGTAAGCCTCCTCCTTGTTTGCATTCTCTCTAAGACCTCATCGTCGCTCACACTCCTGTTCCATGATATCCTTAGCATCCTTCTGTGGAACCAAATGTCTGTCGCCTAGAGTCTCTTCTTCATCTTTGAGCAAGTCGTCCAACATTCGCTGCCGTAAAGAAGTCACGTAACAGCTCAGTAAAATGGGGAAATTCCTGTAACTCCTCGCTGTCTGAAGTTCATCAATGGGAGAGAGGGATATTTATTAGACAGGAAAAAGAAAAGAAGCACTCATCAATAAGAAGAGGAAAAAAGAAAAGGGAAGAGAAAAAGACGAAGAGAAAAGAAAAAAAATGTATTTAGGGAATGCATGATTGAATTAAAAAAAAAACATGGACGATGAGAGAGGTGAAAACAAAAACGAAATGAATAAAACATAAAAGTACTGAACAGGAAGTAACGAAAGTATTCTTCAATGTCCTTTCTGAACGTGGACGATCATGGTTCTCCACAACTGCCTGTCTTTTGTATAGTAAAAGCTACAACAAAATGTGCTGTTTTGTTTTTGTCTTTTTGCTATCCATCCTAATCCCTGTTCTGCCAACCATTTACACAAGGTCGTTAGGGAGGTTACTCGTTGCTTCTCTCTCTGCTTTTGTTTCTCTTATCTTCAATTTCTCCTATGAGTGTCAGATTTATCCAAGCCCTCTTTTCTCATTATGTACCCTAGAAATTTCAACTGTCTCCTTCTGATTCTGATAAGTGTGCTGTTTGTTTCTATTTTCTTTAAAATTTCGCTGTTACTCACATGTTTAGTCTATGGTATTCTCATCATCCTTCTGTATAACCACATTTCTGTTGCCTGAAATCACTTCTTAAACTGTGAGGAGATTGACCAACATTTACTACCAGACAGGATGGCCGATATTACTTAACAGTTCAGCACTCCTTTCTTTGTATCTAACGAAATGTCCCTGTTTCTTAATACTTTGCTTTCGCTATTCCAATGTGCTTTCGGGTTTCGGTGTCACATTTTCCAGCCCCTGTTTCTTACATATTTCAGTTTATGTACTTGTTTGATTTTAGTGTCTCCAATTCGCATTTTGCTGACACCCACACATTCTTTCTTAAAATTGATAGTCTTTTCGAAAACCTGAAACATGGCAAGTGGGAAGTTTGAGGAAAGTAGAAATGACATACAAAAGATTGAAACAAAAAAAGAGGCAATAAAAATGGTTGTACAAGAAAAAAGTAAGAAAAAGAAGTGAAAAAAGGACAATTTTAAAAGTTGAAAAAATAGGTGTGGAAAAAAAATGGAGAAAAAAAAGAGATGTGTTAGAAAAAGAAAGGAAAGCAAATAATGGACCAGTGAAAGAGAAAGACTTAAAAAGAAAGTGAAAAAGAAAGAACGATTCTTTTGAGGATAAAAAGAAAAGATAAACAGCATAATGATTTGAAAGCAAAGTATCAATGATAAAATAACTAAAAAAGACACGTGTATTTTATATAATAACAACAATAACTGACTTGACCACTGCTACAAATAAAATTCTTAACAACACCAGACTTTTCTTTTCAAATTAGACTTTACACGAACCCAGCGACCCCGGACAGAGAGGCTGATCAAAGTCAAAATGAGTCAGTATCAATTATGTAGCGTTCGTAGTTAAAAAAAAACGCTAAGCACTGTTTCTGAATATCGAGTAGTAAATTCACTTTCATTTCTCTTCGATAATTTTTTTTTAATCTTTTCACCCCAATCAAGGCATGCATGTCACTATTACGCACGCGACGGGGTTTACAGAGAGTGAAGGTGAAAGAAATACTAGGCATAGTGGGGATCGAAGAAAGGATAAAACTTGAACGGGGGTTCAAGAAGATAGAAAATGACAATTGACGTTGCATTTAATTTTTTGAAGATTGTAGTTATCAGGGAAGCAAGGAAACGGAAAGGAATTCTACAGGCGGAAAGTGTGAGAAAGAAACCGTTAGAGTAGAAATGGCTCTTACATTTAACTAATTAAACATTAAAAGGGTGAAACCTAGCCATGAAAATATTTGTAGAAAAACAGAGGGAACCACGTAAAGCTGGTGAGAAAGTGATTGAAGCCGAGATGCCAAGTCAGGATCGATTACATTGCTGATCTTCTTTGGATTTTGTCAAGAACCTCGAGATGAGTAGCAGGAGCACCTGACCAGATATGGCAACAGTATCAATGCACAGGTGAATAGTAGATTCGTAAATGTGCAAGATGGACTTCGACGAGAGAAACCTTCTGGTATGACACAATGACCCAACCTTCCTTGCAGTAGATGCAGCTATTGATTCAATTTCGTCGTTCCACTTCAAGTCATTTGAAAATGTGAGGCCAAGTAATAAGAAAGATCTTCGATAATGTAGTAAGAAAGAAAGAAACAATGAATATATTCGATATTTTAGTAAGAAAGAAACAAGAAATGCGTAAACAATTTTTTTGTGGCGAAAGCCAATAATTAGATCCTTGTCTCGTTGATAATATGCAACAAAGTTTGCATACAGCTGTATGGCCTAACTAAAAAAGAAATCTCTGAACGACACCAATGCCATGTCTCTTCAAGGTCATGGCTCTTCAAGGTCATGGCTCTTCACAGCTCCATTCTTTTTAAATATCTGTGACTTAGCATAATTTATGAGGAGATATTGCGAAATGATTTCCCATTGCCTTCTCCATGGTTTTAGATAGAAAAAGAAAGACGTTCTATTCCTTTTCTTTTAATCCTTCTTTCTATCATATGTTTACGAAGAATGAAAAGAAAGTTCCTTGATACAGACATCAAGAAAGGGGGCAACCAAACTCTGTGGGGGAATATTTGTTTTATCGAATTAATTACTAACCATAAAAAAATTTAAGACAGGATTTTTCAGTTTAGTAAATATTTGGGGAAACGGGGAAAACTGGCATTAATGCGAAGAGATGATAAGTAAATAAAAGAATGATAGAAAGAGAGCAAGAAAAGAAGTAGAACAAATACAAAGGAAATATTAGAGAAAATCGCTGAAACTGGGTATATATATATATATATATATATATATATATATATATATATATATATATATATATATAGAACCTAAGGAACAAAGAGAGAAAAAGAAAAAAGGAAGAATACGATTGCATCAGTGAAGAAAAATATGGAAATATTACTCAGGAGAACGAATGAAAAAGACAATGAATCACAAGAGAAAAAATGATAAAATGAAAGACAAAAAAGAAAGGATCACAAAAGGAAATACGATAAAACGAAAGAAAATAGAAAAAATAGATAAAGGATCCCAATAGGATATATGATGAAATAGAAAGAAAAAAAAGAAATATTTCAAAAGGAAATACGATAAAATGATAGAAAAAAAAAAAGAGGATCCCAAAAGGAAATATGATAAAAGGAAAGAAAATATAAAGAATCACAAAATAAAATACGACAAAATAGAATAGAAACAAAGAAAGGATCCAAAAAGGAAATATGATAGAATGAAAGTAAATAAGAAAGAAAAAAAATAACTTTGCGATGCGAAAAAAAAAAGGAAAATTTTTAATATACTAAAAAAATACTTATGTTTGATTGGTTTCTTCAAGAAGCAACCGACAATGAAAAACAAGAGAAAAAATGATAAAAAGAAAGAAAAAACAAAAAGAAAGGATTCCAAAAGGAAATACGATAATATGAAAGAAAATAGAAAAAAATAGATAAAGGATCCCAAGAGGAAATGTGATGAAATGAAATAGAAAGAAAAAAAGAAAGAATTTCAAAAGGAAATACGATAAAATGAAAGAAAATAGAAAAAAGAAAGAGGATCCCAAAAGGAAATATGATAAAATGAAAGAAAATACAAAGAATCACAAAAGAAAATACGACAAAATGAAATAGAAACAAAGAAAGGATCACAATATGATAGAATGAAAGTAAATAAAAAAGAAAAAAAAGTTTACGATGCGCAAAAAAAAGAAGGAAAATTCTTAATATACTAAAAAATACTTATGTTTGATTGGTTTCTTCAAGAAGCAACCGACGCACTTAATATCCAACCAGTGTTGCCAAGATGTTTGGAATAAACAGGAAATATGCTCACTTTCCAACGAAAAGAAGGAAAATATTGTTTGGCCAAATCATAATTTTTCATCCCGTTTTGATTACATGAAATTACTACCCAGACGTCAGCAGGGTCTTCTATCAAACAACGCAGCTGTTTTTGATGTGATTGGTATTATTAATTATGGAAGAGGGAGAAGACAAAACGTCAGACTAAATCTTTGTAATTTTTTCTTTCTTTCATATTCTTCGGCACCTTTTCTGAACTGGAACTAATTCCAATTCTTATACTTCGTTGCCAGATATCTCGACAAAAGATTTCTTGTCTCTGGTATGTCCCGATGGTTAATAAAAAAGAGGACAGGTGAGAGAACTCTCAAGTCAACAACACACCTATAACTACCACCCAGCCAGTACTACTTGCAATCTATTTCCCACAGGCGCAAAGTTGCAAGCCTATCGTCATTGCATTTCAATTTCCATGGCAATTGTTCACATGAACTCCACTCTAGTTTGACCAGTTCAGTCATTTAGAACTAAGAGACGTCATGCTCCTTCCACAGAGTCGAATCACCTCCGTATTCCAAATTTAACGAGAAAGTTCCTCTCATCTCAAGCACTGCTACCTTCAGTATCTGTCTATATTTCTGAGATTAGGTATTATGCACACTATTTACATTATTCGGACTACTGTCCTCATCTTTGTCGCCATATTTATTACAACGTTTCGGCCGTTGTACGCTCCGGCCTTCTTCAGGTGGTTGGAATGTCGAACTGAACCCTTTATTTCGCTCACTAGGGCAGACTGTTCTAGTTCCACGTGTTACTTTTTTAATGGATGTTATCAGTTATCTCCTGTTAATTCCCCTCTCCAAGTTCTTCACTGCATTAACCATGTATTGAACTCACACACTTTGGCACAGTAGATAAAGGCGTTGGTTAGGTCCAGATCTTTCTATTTTCTTTCATTTTATCAAAATTTAAGGGTGGTGTTAAATTTTCTGAATAATAAAATGGGTTGCTCGAATAAGGATATCTCGGTGGATATTTAATATAAGGACTTTTATAATATATAAAATATACACTTATGGGCCGAGTGGTTAGAACGTCCGCATTCTGACCATGAGACCCGGGTTCGAATCTCACCATGGTCTGTGTGTCAGAATGGAGATTGTTATTGGATAGAATATCGACTGGATGTCAATTTCGTGCGGAAAGTGCTTGAAAACCATGCCACGCGTTGTGTATGAAATTTGGGTTGACAGAACCCTTGGGGGCCATAGATAGCTGTGCTGTCAAAACGCATCGAGGACTTGAGCGTGCTGGTCTTGTTCAAATTGTTGATCACGCGAGATAACACTCTCTTTCCCAGAAACTGTAACTAACTCAGCATAATTGCAGTATAAACCACAGATGAGCTCCGTGGGTGTTGAATAAACGCAAATGCGCCTAGATGGGTATCCTCGAATACAAATGGCCAGCTATACATTTTTAATTTTTTTTTAATATAAGCCTAAATTAAGGAATGGCAGAAAATCTGAATATTTAATAAAAGTGGTGTTTTTTTCCCAAGAAAAAAAAGATTGATTTTTCCGGCCCATCTATTTGAAACTCAAATGTAGTTGATTCCATTCATTCAAGTGTGACAACCTACAAAGGATTGTTAAGCCATAGAAAACAATTAGGTGTGTGACTACGAACGGATCCATGTTTTATTCCTGTCTATTTTTTTGGTACTTCAATTGATATGAAGTTTAAACAGGATAAAATTTAAAATTTATTTTTATTTAACCGCCCCCCCAAAAAAAAACCCAGAAAAGAATTAAATTTAGAATTCATTTTTATTTTGCCTTTATCCTCGTACACTTATCCTCATCTTGGTTGTCATAAACCCAATGTTTCGACCATTATAACCCTCCCGTCCGTCCTTCTTCAGGTATCTGTCGTACTTGATAACCTTCTCGCGATTTTGAACCGAAACCTTTATTAAATCCATGGAAAACAGGGCCTGACAGATTGATCTTCAGCATTATTTCTTAACCAATTAAAGCGAAAATTTCCTCTGCTCTCGATCGGCTGACATATTGACCGATTCTTAAACTAATTATACTGTACTGAATATCCTCATTAATTAGCGTTTCCGCCTGTTGCAGATTGCGAACTATCATGACTTATTTCCAGTCATTTATTATGATCCTGAACAGGCTTATTTACTGTCTGCCACTCATTAACTGATGACCACAGAATTATGTTATCCCCCATCTCTGTTTTGATGTTCCTCTTTTTCCAGGCACCAAATTTAATTTTCCAACCTTGAAAACGAACTCTAGGTCTGCCTATTTTCGCAAGGTGGCGATATATATATATATATATATATATATATATAGCTAGCTATACTCGTCTCGAAAAACCTTCGAATTTTTGATTTGCTAATAATCAAATCAATCTCGAAGGAAAAAAGGTTTTAAAAAAAGAAAGAGCTAGAAACATGAAAGTCTGTCGAAAAAAATCGCACAGATGCAGGTTTGAAGCCCAAAGAAAAAACTCCGACACGAGTAAACAACTAACAAAAGAGCTTAATACAACCGTAGAGCAGACCTAGATAAACCTCTCTCTCTCTCTCTCTCTCTGTATATATATATATATATATATATATATATATATATGCCTTAGAGATAGTTTTCGTGATGTAGACAGCAGTTAAATAAACAAAATGGCAATTTCAAAATGTCGGGGCCCATAAAGAAAATTTATGCACCCGCTTCCGAGGAAGTTCGTGATATTCTTGTGAGTTCGAGATGACACTGAATCGGTCAATATTTCAAGACAATTTGTAGGTGGTGAGACCAGTGAAAACAATGGTCGCCCACGACAAGTTGATGTGATATCTCAAGAGGAATTTTTGTTCTGGGTCTTTAGAATTTGACAGTGAATAATGATTCAAGACAATTCATGAATAGTGATGACGACAGTGAACGCAATGATTGTCAAAAGTGACAGACGTGATATGTCGCCGACTTGACGTCATACACTGACATTTATGGAGTTTATGAATCTCAGAAGGACAAGGTGGATATTTTTTCATGAAAATCTGCTTGGAGGCAAAAAGAAAAAAAAAGTGAACAAAAAAAAATTATTCTAATCTCAAGTGGTTAAGTCGCTTTCATTCAAAACTGACTTCCTTTCGCAACTTCTTTGATTCTACCCAACCACTCGCTTTAGAATCACCGAATCAATCAACATTGATTCCGCGTCGACGCACAGGTGTGTACAGAAAATACGAATAAAATTTATTTATTTTTATTTAAAATTAGAAAATCCTTTTTTCTTTTCTTTTTGTTATTTCGCGATAAGATTCATTTTCGTTTTGTTTTGTCATTCCATTTCGAATTTCCATTCCTCATTCTTTAGTACACGAATAATAACCTCCACAAATAATATAGGTTGTAATAAAAACATTAAAAATAGATACCATTCGCGCATCATGCGACTTTTGAAGCTAATTTTAAGGAGGTCGCATGATACACGAGGCATAAAATTAGCATGTGTACTGCTGGCCCTGACTCCACCGTTGACGAAACTATATATCTACTTACTGTAGCTTCAAAATTAGATCTTCAAAGGTCGCATGGTACGCAGGTATATACGGTATATCTCCACTTAATATCGTTAATAGAAAGGATATGTTTGATAAACAGCAAGGTCATTGATATTTGGCTGGAAATTGGTGAGTTTTAGTCGTAAGTCACCACAATTCATCGCCCAACTTTTTGACCGCACTCCCAGGATCGAGCGTCCTGGGTACGACGATAAACTACATCCGCGTCCTGGGTATTACGATAAACTACGTCCAACAGCAAGGCCTCTGATCAGGAGGTTTTGAGGAGCGTGGAACCACCTCTTAATTACTGATGTTCCTAGGTCCACCGTGACCCGGGGTGGTAGCAGCTGTTAGGGTCCCAGCTATGGGCAAATAGTTAACCCAGAAACTGAGGTTAAAAGCATTATAAAATATTACCAGCAATACGTTTTTTTGTAGAAAAAAACTGTTGCCAGCAATACGTTTTTGAAAAAATAATATTACCAGCATTAGGTTTTTGAAAAAATATAACCAGCTATACATTTTTGAGGAAAAGAAATATTAACAGAAATAGATCTTTGACAAAACAAAAATATTACCAGGAAAAAAAGTTGTCGGCATTAAATGACCCATTGAGGTTGATATGCCGTAAAACAAAACAAACCAAACCAATCCAAGGATTGATATTGATCGACTTGGGAACCTCTGCTCGACAGCGAGTTGCCCAAATAAATTTCTCTTATAGCTAGTAATTGGTGTTCATAATAAAAGTAGTGAAATAGCAGGATTTTACGTGTAAGACTGTCGGAAATACGTTGGACATTATTGTAAGTGGGGAGCAGGTAATATGCTATCTATGTAGTCTACCACTAGCAGTGGTTTACCTGCTTCACGCCGATGGCGAGTATTGTATTTTGTTGATGTTATAAAGATTACAATTTCATTTCCAACCTCTGTTTTGGTTATTTCTCATTCTGTAACCTTTCCTGCGTTGCAACAGACGGAATTAGTTGCATACGACGGACTAGGTTCTCAGTTCTCAGTAGAAAGGTTAGTTGGTTGATTTTTGTTTGGCGGCATATCAAAATTCATGGGTTATTTAATGCCGAAATCTACATAGTTTGTACGTAATTTTATCCTTTCAACTAGATATTTTCTACATAATGCTATACTTTCAGGTTGTGTTATTTTAGATATATAGTTTGTAGCTCATAAAAGGTGTTGTTTGGTAATTTTACTATACATATGTATTTGTATAGTGTTGCATTGATTATCATTTTGCTATAAAAATCTATTATTGCTCATTTTGATATAAAAATGTACTATTGATTTGTTATTTTTTGTGAGGTCAGTATTTGCCCATAGCTGGGACCCTAACAGGTGCTACCATCACGGATCAGAGTAGACTTCGGAACAACAACAATTAAGAGGTAGTTCCACGGTCCTCAAAACCTCCAATATCCCGATCAGTGTCTTTTGCTGCCGGATGTAGTTTATCGTC